AGCACAACTATGAGAAGAGAATTAAACAAACACAAAGCCACCAGTAATTTCCCAATTAGTATTATTTCCTTCTGTGGACATTAGACTTGTATTACATACGTCACAAAGGAAGACAGCCATTCTGAAGGAGAGACCACTTTGAAAAAGTAGTCCCAAAGTCATTTCTATTTGGTAGGGATTAAAAAAAAAAATTATAGCCCCCTCTCTTTATTAAGACAATTGCCTAGAATCATTATTTCTTTTCAAGGTTATAGCTATCATGGCCCGTAAGATTAGTGCCAATATAAACGTGATCTCTGACCTACATGTCTTCTAACCTGTTAATATTACAAAACATGTTACCAAAATTCATGAGGAATTTAATGTGATTAAAATAAGTGAAGAAGCTCTTCAATACTTGGAGGGAAGAAAAAAAATCCACCAGACTGAGTTCTCTAGGAGCACTCTTTGCTTCAAAAACAGAAGCACCATGGGGAGCTGCTTTTGTTACAGGCTTCATCTAAGGAGGGATACACAACAACTCGAAAGTACAGCCGAATCACCCTGGAATAAATTTTCATTAGTAACTTGGTCTAGAGGGAAGGGATATGAGTGGCTTATGTCCTAGAGAAAGGAGGTCTACTGATATGCTCAGGATCCCTTTACGCAGGGGATGATCTTTCTCATCTGAGATGTTTGTACTCAGTCATCCAAGTTCCTCTAAAGCACTTTTCTCCGTTTGCAGTTGCTTCATCAAGACTGCAGAGGTTAGACAACTCCACTGTTCGCACATACTCATGTTGACAAGCCACTCAAAGGAGGCAGCACTGACTTGCTGTGAGTAGCTTTCCTTGGCGGACAAAGAACAAACCACCCCAAAACTGAACCTATATAGAGTAGTAAATATACACGAAACGCTTTGGGATGGCCTAGCAGTCCAGAAGCGAGATAACCCCTTTGGATGGCTAGAGGGCTTCTAGAAGACGAGTCTTAATATTGTAGCTCTTGATCTAGTCTTTCCCATCACCATCTGTCTGCTCTGAATTAATGTCCCTCTGTGACAGGCCTGTCACTGTCTTATTACACCTCAGCAGGCTGCAGCCCAGACCTCTGTCCCCTACTTTTGAGTAGCATTTAATATTGACGCACATAGCATTTTACTGAGGACGGCTTGGCACTCTCAGAATAACACACTTTTAAGTGAGTATTTTCTATAGGGGAAGCTGAAGTAAGCTGAGGGTGATTCTAGTAGGTACCGAGTCAGAGAGTAGCAGAGACAGGAAGAGGAGTTAGAGGTGGTTTATTATTAAAAACAAAAGTATAACTGAAAATTTTGAACTTTCGGTATGTCATCTCACATCACTGTGATTTATTATATTTGTTGAAAACAGATATGAGTGTTAAGTATCTGGGGCTTACAGCGTAGGAACAAAATGAAATTATAAGAATGGCAAATGGGACTAAAACCTTAATATATAATCATAAGATATTAGGCATTTGTATTAAGAGAAATACTAGCTGATGGAATCTACTTCCAAGCCCATATAAAAAATGGAGTTTTACTGAAAACCAGTCATAGTAAGGCTGTGGTTTCCTTAGGTTATTCATGTCAAATGCTCATGAAACTTTTTTTTTAACCTACAACTCAGTTTTAGCACAATATTTACCACTTAGGATGAGTTAATATTTTGGAAAAATAATCTTTAGAGTCCAGTGTGTGCACAGGGATGGGGAGAGGAAACAGTTGTAAGCAGAGGAACAGCTCATCTTGTGCTGTTTATTCATTGCCTTGAACTAAAAGCTCCGTGCAATTTATTGTTGGTCTTCGGGGCCTCAAGTGGGAGCTGGTACGCTGCCTTATTTGGGTCACTCTTTGATGCTGCTGATAAAACAAAAAGCTTTCCGATAAGAGATTTAATTTCAGAATGTAAAACCTAACATTAAAAATTTAATTATGGTATACAATTTGGCATCTAATTAGGCATGATCTAAAGGATATAATGATTTGGCTAAATAAGAGGCTTTCCAAAATACTGTTTGTAATAGCTTCTACACATAACATGATAATTTCCCCAGGAACTGAATACTTCACTAATTTACAAATGACTATTTAATATGTTGAGTAGTGCTTGCTGCTTAGTTTTTGACTGATGGCTAGAATTGCTCTGTAACTATTTGCAGTCTGTATTTTGTGCATGGCATTCTGGGTCACATTTCCCAGTTTTTACCATTAAGTGGGACGAAGGTCTTTATGGACAGTAACCTAATCTCGGACAACCAATTTCTACTAGCACTTTTGTTACTAAAATAACTCAGAACATATTATTTATTGTTTCACTTGTGTCAGGAAAAGAAATTGTGAGCTTCTCCTAAGTATGTTATGGCAGGAAGGAATCAGTGATGCCACAAAACTGATCCAGATCCTGTAGAGTATGTTCTTTCTTGGCATTATGTTTTCATCACCATTAAACAGAGGTGTCTTTTCAAGAGCTCCAAAACTCTGGCTCTGGCTCTGTGAACTAGAATAAGACTCTCTTCCATGGAAGGGGTCAACTCAACCGAACTTACTGATGAGCACACTCGAAAATTTTCAAGAGGACTGCTCACATTTTCTGGGAAGACCTTTGTTTCTCTTCACTGCCATGCTTTCTCACAAACTTGAGCAGATCTCGTTATTCATTAAGTTGGCCTGCACAAAATTGGAGAGGAGCAAATGGTAATTACCTAGAGCTCTGGGTCAGCTCCCAGCCGACGTTGTGTTCACTGACTCAGGGCAGACATAGGCAGGCTGCATGGAGGAGCTGGTGCCCGCAGTGGCACAGGGGGGTCTTCCAGTCGGGGAGCTGCTGGGAGACTAACGATGTGCATTCAATATTTTAGATGTCGTCTTTTCCGTCTACTCTACCTAAAGTGCACTACCATCTCAGAAGATGAACAGTGAAAAACCTTTGTGAAGACTGAATTCTAAGGAAACAACCACAAGTAATGGTTTATTAAGCTGAAAATGTGATTTGGGGGGAGTCAGATATTAAGTTTGATTAGTTTACTACAATTGTAAGACAGTGCTTAAGTCATTTGAATAATAAGCATCATCCACATCATAAATTCTGTACAACAGATGCTTTTATGAAATGGAGCCACTTGTTTTTTCATGTTTTATTGTAATATACTAGGCATTTATGTATTACTGTGTATGTATTTCTTTTTAAATGTGTAAGTCTTATGTAAATGGATATAAATATGATTTTTAAAAAAATAAAATATATGGTTCATGGAGTCTCGAGTGCAAACATTTGACAATTCCAAGTACTGTTTGTATTTTACCATTCCACCATTTTTACAGTTTTTGAATTGTAACAGTCAAATCGATATGTTTCTCCTTCAAGTCTGTCAATACCTAAAGCTGAAAACCTGCCTCTGATCATGTAAAAAAGAATGATTTAACCTGGAACTGGAGCCAAAAATAGTCCTTTAAAGGCAATCAGGGATGTCCTATATCTTTAGAAATAGCACTGTGATGGCTCGATCTCCTTTTCAATACAAAACAGAGCTAAACTGTTTACAAGAGTCAAAAGCAATTATTTAAAAAAAATTTCTAAGGAATAAACATTATCTTCTCTTGTTACCTGTGGATCAAGAAAAAAAGAAAAAAGAAAAAACTTCTTTACTAAGAACCACATGTTCATCAGATACCTTGAACCGCCAGCCAGCACTGTTCAGTGCATGTCAACCACTGCAGAGTCTGAGGCTCATTTCCATTGAAAAAACAACAATGACAACAACAACAAAAAAACCCAACAAAACTCAGAAACCTTTCCCTTTTGTCAATGTAACAGGGCATTAGCCAGACTCATGTCTAATGTTATAAGCTTCTAGCCAAGATGGCCTTGCTGCGACTTCCCTGAAGTCAGTCTTATCAGAGGAAATAAATGAAAGACAGGATGATTAACATATATAGTGTATAAAAGTATAGAAGAGTAATCTCTTCCCTGTGGCTTTATTTGGTGGTGTTACTGTTGTTTATTCTTTGTTTATATGGGAAATTTCAAAGTAAAACCTATTTAATAATACCATTTATCTAACTGCTGATTTTCTGCTGCTTGATCTTATGAAGCGCAAGACCTGTCATTAGTAATTTCCTTTTTGTATTTAATTTGCTATGTTTGCACGTACATTACATTTGTTTTGATGTCTATTTTTGTTTAACAGATTCAGTCAAAAGGTAATGGTAACAGAAACCCTCTCCATTGTCAATAAAAAAAAATACTTCCAGTTCTCTGTTTAATCTTTGTTTTCTAGTCACATATGTTTAACAACTCACTTAGACCATAATGCAAATTGTCCTTTTAGTGACTCAGTCTAGTATTTAGCATCAAAAGTGAGTCTGCCACAAGAGGGAGCACTAAACTTGCTTATGGAGGTGATTTTAAATGTTCTAGAAATGTTGCCTGAGCAGAAAACAATGGGAAAGAGCTTTCTAAGCTCCTCTGGTCATGGGGATCTTGACTTAAGGAAATGAAATGTAATATAGAAACTATGATACTATAACAACAAACTAGATTTGTATCTACTCTCAATACCTGACTTAATTGCATAATCAGTTTCTCCTCTTTAGAGATCATCTGGTAAGAAATATGAAATAATTTATAATAGACTCTCCTGTATCGAAGTAAAAAGATCAACCAGTTCCCTCAAAAAAGCATAAAATACTCTTCAATGATAATTCTTCCAGCATCTAAAGTCCATTTAATGAGTTAAGCACAGAATCTCAATATTTTTCCTTCTGACCATCTATCGACTTTATACATTTTCACATTTGTAATGATGAGAGACTTCTCAAATACAATCTTATGTAAATAAAAATGCTCCTTAAATGTAAAGTGGGTCTAATTTGCATATATTCAATGTATTATCTTGAGCAAAATAACTCAATTGGAAAATAAGTTTTCTGTAGGTTTTAAAAGAAAGTCTTTAAATCTTTCCAATATCTTACAGAAAAAAATTCTATGAAGATATCAAAAGATGGTCACGAGGACTTTATTTGAGCACATTTAAATATGATTGCATTTTTAGTGTCATCATATTATATTTAAAGATACATTTATTCCAGAATATTTTAGGTATCATCTTGTGAAGGTGCTTTCTAAGTATGAAATAGAAAATTGCTTTTCTTTTTCCTCCCAAATTTTAGGCAATCTACAATTGAAGTGTATCTTTCTTGCCCCACTTTTAGTGAAAGTAACAGTTGTTCTGATTCTTCAAAGGAGATAAATTTCTTCAACCAAATGCAAGAACAGTACTTCCTCCCCAGGCTCATGCACTGTTTTCCAATCTCATTCAACTGGAAAATAACTCAAGCCTGATTGCTAACATGTCCCTTCAGAATTGATTGCCAGGAAAAATGTGCAAGAGGTCCACAGATGTACCCTTCACACAATTCTTGGATTTGCCTTTGTTTATACCTTGCAAATGAACAATGATAATTCATTCAACTGAAGAATTTGCCATTTCAAATTAACTGAATCTTATATGAAAAAATAAGGTAATTTTTAATGTTTTAACATTAAAAGTTAAGTTTACAGCTGTGATGATGAGCAAAATGTACCCAATATACCCAATAGAAGAGACACTATAAGGAACCCGACAGCTTCAAATTACAAGTTGAATGTCTATCTAGTTGGTTTAATTCCAGATACTAAAATAATTAAAGAGAACAGCTGAATATATTTTTCCTAGTGTAACAATCAAGAGGCCGATTTAAGCAAATGGGACTTGCCTTTGAGAAGCCATTTATTTATATAGCCTACAGTCCAAAAAAAACAAAACAAAAAACCCTATCATTTTCAGGATGTCTTATATAGGTTGTGTCATTTATATGAAGCAAACAAGTAATTAAGCTCTTATGTGTTATTTCTCATATATATTTCATAAGCCTAGACTATTATGATACGACAGCTGCTCTTAAAAATAATGGTCCTGATGAACTGAAAGATTGAGAAATACTTTGAGCACCATCAAAGACTCAATGGGCATGGTATGCTTTTTTTACTTTAAATGTATTCCTCAATAACTGCTATCATGTAGAATCCAAAGTAAATCATATATCTATCTATATCTATCTACTCTGACTAATTGGCACATTACCATAAGCTTATTAACAAAGACTAATTTTCAATCATTTTTCTTAAGTTCTCAATACTTTTATATAAGTTTAAATGAAGAGATGTGTTTGGATGTCGCTTGTTTTCTAGCAAGCTATTACTTAAAAATTAGAGATTTCACATAAAAATCGGGGTCTCTTAAAAACTCCTGGTCTTTAGCATAATGTAAAAACCTTTATATTTCTTCTTTAAGAACCTTCCTTGTTAGTTTACCACATTTCTGTGTCATTTCCTTGTTTTTATAGGAAGCTGCAATCATTAAGTATACACTCAACTAAGACCCTGAGACAGGAGGAGGAACTCCAAACAGCTCTCATCTCCATGACAAAGAGATTGGATTAAATGACCTCTAGGATCTGTCAGGCATGTGATTTCCCCTAAGTAAAAATGACCTGAAGTCACAGCTGTACTCTGGTATATAACCTTCCCCCAGGAAATGTAGGACTAGACATATCTTCCTATCTAGAAAATCATCTGTCTAGATGATGACCTAAAACGTCCCATTTTGTCTATTTCACTTAAAATATCCATGCATGGGGACATCTCAAGAATATTAGCTAATATTCAGAATTTCTATAAGAAAAATTACAATTACTTTCTGGTTTCAACTTGAGTTTTAGGTTTTGGGTCAAAGTTACAGATTCTTCATTTCAGGAAGTATTTCTATATTAACGTGTCTATTTCAATTAAAATATTCAAATGGGGTAAGTTTTTTAAAAATCATACATTCGTTAATTTTTTTCTTAAATCAAGTGCTATGCAACCCATGTTGTAGGCAACTGAAAAAGATGCTAATTGGGTCTACTCAAACAGAAGGCCTAGGTCTTTCACTAGTCTTCAAGTACTTTTTTTAAACCAAGCTTTACAATTCATATTTCAGTTTGCAAGGAATTTCTATTTAAATATTTATTTATGAAAAATCCAAAAATTTGACTCCAATTAGAAAAGTGACTCAATTTGACTCAAAATAGGAAAAAGTCATGATGATTGCTTCAGCACTTCTTCTATGTGCCCAAAAATGCTGGGGTCTTCAATTGTAGGTGTTATCTGGAAAGAAAATAGGAGTCAGATGAATGCTCTTCCTTGAACCCCTTCCATCTCTCAACAATCAACAATTACCGCATTCCCCATCATCTGATAAAATGCATATGGAAATGTTAAAAAAAAAGAAAGGAACTCCAAATTTAATATTTTAACATGTACATATAGGGGCACCTGGATAGCTTAGTTGAGCGTCTGCCTTGGGCTCAGGTCATGATCCCAGGACTGGGGATGAACTGGTGTTGGGCTTCCCGCTCCATGGGAAGCCTGCTTCTCCCTTTCCCTCTGCCCCTCCCCCTGCTTGTGCTCTCGCTGTCAAATAAATAAATCTTTAAAAAAATAAAATGTATATGTAGTCTTCCAGAGTAATAAACTGTTCAGTTAGCAGAACTATAGGTCCTAAGTGGTACTTCTCTAGAATCCCTCTAATAAGCCTTTCTATGTGCCTTTATAGAAATATATTTTTTTGCATTTGTTCATACAACTACTATTTACTGCTGCGTCACCTTCTATTAGATCTTGAGGATTAAAAACATGCATATCTATGCATGTCTAAAGCCCACAGAAATTAAAAGAATATATATACTTGAATCAGCCTAATGTTTTCCATAATAATTTTCACTCAAAACAGGAGGAATAATTAGCAAAATGCATCAATTAGAACTGTTAAGCGTATATAAACCCAGCCTCAATTGTTTGCTTTCTCATTAGTAATAGACATAAATGACTACAATGAAGGAAGTTGTGTCTTAAATTCAGTAAGACTGCGTTTCCACAAGTTGTTTAAATTTAACCGATATGCTTACTAATAGTGAAAGAATTTCCACACACTGGCTACTATCATCTCAAAGCATATGCTTTTAATTAATCTGTGTTTCCACAACCCGCATTCCTAGAGAGCAGCTATGTAGTTTCCTTAACATTAAAAAATTACTGCCAAAGAAGTGGGGAGAAACGTGTCCGAACATTCTTGATAATTCACCTTATATGGCTTGCCATTGACAAGAGCGGACAGGGCCGACCTGGGAATTTTGCCGGACCTCGTCTTGGGTAACTGTTTGACAAACACTGCATTTCGAAAAGCAGCCACAGGGCCAATGCTCTGTCGAACATGTTTTACAATTTCTTCCAAAACTTGTTCCTCTGTTGTATTTATATCTATGGAGAGAGTTCAGATGATAAGCCAATTAACCTTAGTGAATCATTCAGGGTCAAACACCAGGGAGGACAAAGATTTCTTACCTTTTCTCAACACGCAGAGTGCTAAGGGGACGTGACCTTTCAGAGGATCTTCCTTGCCAACAACAGCACAGTCGGCCACAGTGCCATGGGAAAGGACTGACTGTAATAAGGAAAAGCATTCATTTAGAAAAGATGTGTGTGTGTGTACATATATTGTGTATAGACATACAAACATATATATATTCATACACACACACACACACACGTAGGTATGTATTTCAATTGGGAAAAAAGTACATGTCCGAGAACTCAAAACCTATAGCTGCCTGCGTGGAAATTACTACTGATTCACAATTCTGATCATTACAACTGGGGTGAATGAATGGTTAGGTCCCTCTTGGTAGTCACTCACTAGAAGCTAGCAGTAATTAAGACAAATTGCCTTGTTTACCTGGAAAGTAAGGGAATTGTTTCTTCATCTCACTTGCTCATTAACGAAGTCAGGGCAAATAGGCAGTGGGTACCACATGGGAACAAATTGCATCCGAAAACAGATGACCTCATGGTGATGTGGCTTTAGTGCTGGCTACCATAAGTGCACTTTCCAGAGAAATCCAAGGCAGCCCCATGACTAAACAGTGATTTTATTTCTGTATCTGCTACTGAGCCATGAGCAGAGCATTTGTTTTATTGAGTGACCACCCATCCAGAGAGGATTTTCTGACTTGAAAGTAAAAGCTGGGCATGGCATGATGCCCTGACATCAGATAATCACCCCTGTGGAGGAATCGTTTTCATACTGCTTACCCTAAGCTCTACATATCTTAAAGAACAAAGCAGCTATCTATCTGGAATCACAAGAACCTGCAGAGTAACCACATGAAATACAGAAGCTTAGGGTTAAGAAAAAAAAAACAAAAACACATTTCTGCTATGATGGTACTTTTAAAAATGACTGTTCTATTCTGAGAGAGTAATAGGTATCTCCGTGACTGCAAATCTCTAATACCTAGAGAAAACAGTGCCCAATATACTGACAGCTCATTTGGCACTTCTCTCTCTCTCTCTCTTTTTTTAAGATTGTATTTATTTGTTCATGAGAGACAGAAAGAGAGAGAGAGGCAAAGACATAGGCAGAGGGAGAAGCAGGCTCCCTGCTGGGAGCCCAATGCGAGACTCGAGACTCGATCCCAGGACTCCGGGATCACAACCTGAGCTGAAGTTAGGCGCTCAAATGCTGAGCCACCCAGGCGTCCCTCATTTGGTACTTCTCATTCTTTCTTCTATTCATTCTTTCAACAAATATTTACTAAATCCTTCTGTGTTCCAACCACTGCACTAGGCTCAATGTGAGCAAAAAGAGGTAGAGCACTGTCTCACAGTGCTTACAGTCTAATGGATGAGACTGTTTGCTAATAAACATGACTACTTATTATTAAGAATATTTAATATAAAAGTGACAAGGGCTCTGGGGAAATGCCTTGGTTTTTATATGAGAACTACAGCAAAAGCAGCCAGAAAAACCTGGGCTTTTATATGAAATATATGGCAAAAGCAGAAGCCTACCAGTCTCAGAGAAACCTTCAGGAAACGACAATGAGCTCAGGCCTACAGGATGAGTAGACATGGGTTAAGCAAGGTGGAGGGGCAGAGCAAAACCCTGAGGAAGGACTTGGCACAAACCATTCAAACCTGAGAGAAGCTAACATTACTGGAAAGCAGAGAGCAAGACTGAGAAAAGTGCAAGAGGAAATGAGGCTGCAGAGGTAGAAAGGGGCTGTGCTAGGGACTTCCAATTTATTTTTGTAGCATTGGAAAGGCAATAAAACACTTTCAGGAGTTGAGGAGGAGATACAAGATCTTTGTGGATTTTTTTAAGAGACTTTATTTTTAAGAGTAGTTTTAGATTACAGCAAAAATGGAGTAGAAAGCAGAGTTTTGCTATATATGTCCTGCCGCCATATATGCACAGCCTCCCCCCCCCCTCAAAACCCCTCACCAGAGTGGTATATTTGTTAGAACTGATGAACCAACACTTCATTCCCACCTTAGTTCATCGTTTACATTAGAGTTCACGCTTGGTGTTATATACTCTATGGGTTTTATGACATATATCCACCATTATATTGCATTTTTCAGAATAGTTTCACTGTCCTAAAAAAATCTCCTGTGCTCTCCTTATTTATTCTTACTTCTTGCCAGCCCTGGGAAAACATTGATCTTTTCAGAGCCTCCAAAGTCCTTTTTCAGAATGCTGGAATCATAAAGTATGTATTCTTTTCAGATTGGCTTCTTTTACTTCAGAGTGTATTTTGAAAAACAAACGTACTTTGGGTTCATCATGGAGAACAAAGAGAGGATTGTTATGGGTGAGTATTACAGTTTATTGAAATTGCCCATGAGGCTACCACAGTAGTCTAAGGCTATGACAGGGGGTAATGAAGACTCTTATAGCTTCTTCAGAGGTAAAAAAAAAAAAACAAAAACAAAAACAAAAAAACAAAAACAAAACACAATTTTATGATAAATTGGGTATGGTGCAAGAAGAAAGAGAAGAGAAATTAAGAATGATTCTATGGTTTTTTTGGCTTGAATAGCTGATTGGATAGTGGTACCATTTTCTAAGCCAGAAAATTCTAGTAAAGGCTAGACTTGGAAGGCATGATCATGTATTAAGTCTTGGAGATATTCCACTGAAGCACCTTTGAGATATCCAAGTTGAGGCAGTTGAATATGATGGGAGTCTTAATTTAGAGATGCACATTTAATTGTCATTAATGCATAGATGATAAAAACTAGACATAGATTTGATTATTTACAGAGAAAGCAGTGGGAAGAGTGAAAGTCCTAAGGAATGGATCTAATGGCTACATGAAAAAGGAGAAGCTGCCCAACTAGACTAAAAAGGCACAGCCAGAGAGAAGAGAAAAACCAATGGAATCTGGGACATGCCACTTTCAAGTCCCAGAAGTCTTCTTTTAATTATGCCAAGTTGAGAATGAGCTGTCTCTTCTCTGAGTTCCTGGAAGACTCCGTGAACTACTAAACTGGTGCAAACTCCATGCCCTACCTCACACTGGCCCTAATTAAATATAGAAATCAACATCTCCTATATCCTATTGTTACCATCCACTTTGAAATACTGAGTTGTAAGAGTTGCCATCCACATAGTTTTTGACTCTTACGCTGCTGAGGATAGTATGTGTTAGATAAATGAATTTTGTGCTATACATTTTATTAATTTCATTGCTGAGACAGAGATGTGCACCTCATCTTCCATCAGTTGGGCTTAACTAAAAAGCTTCTGTAAGACACTGACTATCCAGACCATACAACACAATCTTCTCCTAGTGCTGCAATCTGAACTTTCAACGTGCTTCCAACAGCTTTCCCATTTGCTAAGATTTTATTTGTGTTTCAGGTCCATGTGCTTCGAGACAAATTTTATTGCCAGAGATTTGTACTGGTAGTTAGTATAGTGAGTCACAGTCTTTGGAAGAGAATATTTTTGTTCATAGCAGATAGGATATAGACTTGGTGGGCCCAATGCTGTAATTCCGGTTGAGGAGTTCCTTAATGAGTGGAGGAAAAACTTTTACCTGCCTACCCAGAGTTTTGACTGTCAAAAAGAAAAAATATATATATTAAATTTTTCACTGGTGTCAGAAGCCTCTACTACCTTGGTTTTTAAAATGACAATGTAACTGTTCAAATTACTATTTAAAAAATTGATTATCCAGATATTTTGTCACCTAACCAGTATAACTATAACTTTAACTAAATCAAAATACCAAACCTTCTAGTTTGTCCTTATTTCACCTTGTTGTTTTCATTTCGCCATGTTTCCACCCTCAGTGTTAGTATGTTTAGAAGTGGATGGGAAAATGCGGACAAGTTTTCCATACAGGTAGGGTATTTTATTTTATTTTATTTTACATATTTATTTATTCATGAGAAACACAGAGAATCAGAGACATAAGCAGAGGTAGAAGCAGGCTCCCCTTGGGGAACACGATACAGGACTTGATCCCAGGACCCCAGGATCAAGACATGAGCCAAAGGCCACTGAGCCACCCAGGTACTCTGGGCACAGGGTATTTTAAAATCAGAAGTAATACATAACACAGTTTTCTTCAGTATCAAAGCTTCACATTTTTTTTTTTTGCCTCATTTGTGGCCAAATTCTCAAAAATCTGTGAACAACATAATCATTTACCAGAATTGTATATCATCTGTAAATGAGGTTCATTATTATAATGGATAAAATACTATATTAATCTATCAATGTTAAAAAGGTGTCATAAAGGGAAGGAGACAGCTTTCTATGTTGGCTCCACAAATAATATCTACATGCCAAATTATGATTTCAACAACTGAATCATTAAAAAGAAAAGCATCAAAGTATGTCTCGGCAACATGTAAGGGACAGGAGCCAAACAAATGTCCTATGGGGGCAAAAATATCAAAAGCCACTTTTATATATTTCCTCCACATAAAATCCATAAAGCATCTGTGATTAACTGGCAGTTAAGATCTGAAAAAATGATACAACTTGAGGGGTAAAAACCACAAATGTGTGCAATAGTTCCAACTTACAACTTTTCGTCTTTAGGGTTGTGTGAAAGTGATACATGTGCAGTAGAAACTGTACTTCGCATTTTGAATTTTGGTCTTTTCCCAGGCCAGCAGTATGCAGCGCACAATCCTTTCTTGTGATACTGGGCAGTGGCAGGAAGCCTTAGCTCCCAGTCAGTGATCGCTGCGTAAACAACTGAAACACTCACAACCACTCTGTACCCATACAACCATTCTGCTTTCATTTTCAGTACGTATCAAGAAACTACATGAGGTATTCAACATCTTATGATAAAGTGTCCTTTGAGTTAGGTGATTTTGCCCAACTGTAGGCTAATGGTGTTCTGAGCATGTTTAAGGTAGGTTAGGCTAAGTTATGATGTTTGGCAGGTTAGATATATTAAATGCATTATCAATTTATGATATTTTCAATGTATGATAGGTTTACCAAGATGTGATCTCTTTCTCAAGTTGAGGAATATCTGTATAAATACAGATGATAGGGTAATACAGGTTACAGGGTAAATGGGCCTGGTAAGTGCCTGTCATTTGTTGTTTCTGGGGTACTGTCATTTTTGTGTAAAT